GGGGAGGGGGAGGCGGGTGGGCGGAGCTCTGCACCTTTAAGCGCTGTGATTTATTGGTTATTAAGCGGAATTAATTGCTGTTAATTACCTTTGTCGAGTAGCCACTCATCTACTACTCGACCGAGCCGATACGGTATTCTCTGTCTAGCAATCGCCAGGCGTTCATTATCACTGTTGCCTTTAGAGAAGTTTAAGGGAAGAAGAATGTTGCAGTCGGTTAAAAAACGGGAAGGAGAGAAAGGAAGAAAGAAGAAACAGAAACCAGGAAAGAACCAAAGAACCAGAAAGAGAGACAGAGAGAGAGAGAGAGAGAGAGAGAGAGAAAGAGAGAAAAAGACCCAGCCCCACGCGCCCGCTGGAAGGTCAAAGGTCAGAGGTTAGCGGGTAGGGGGGGCCCGGTTGGTTTAGCGGGTTTAGCGCGGCCGCGAGCTAGTTAGGCGGGTTTAGGGGGCTTTAGCGGGGGGGTTAGACGGGTTTATGCAGCGTTTATGGGCTTTAACGGGGCTTTAGTGCTGGTCATTAGTTCCCTCCGCGCGGTGGGGGGTGGGAGGGGCAGCGGTGACCGGAGCAGCAGAGGAAATGGGGCATGTGGCCCCCCCAACCGGCTCCCCCCCTCCCTCAGCTGGTCCCAAACCAATGACCGCCCCCCCGGCCCACACCCCCATCCCCGCCAGCCGCATTTGTATCTGAGAACAGGGGGAGCTGGGCACAGCTGGGAGCCATGGATGCGAGGGGGCAGGAGGCTTTTGTGCCCGGGGTAGATCGGGCCCCTGGTCTGAAAGGGGGTAGGTGGGGGAGATGGGGGAAGGATGCAGGGCAGGAGGAGGCTGGTGGGAAACGGGGTCCTGATCTTGGCTTGGGGGAGGCTGGGCAGTCCCGGGTGCCTGGGCTCCCTCCAGCTCTGGGAGGGGAGTGGGGGGCTGTGGGGTCTGGGAGCCTGGACGCCTGGGTTCACCCCAGTACTGGGGGCCGAGAGCAGGGGGTGTTGGGAGCCTGAAGCGCTCTTCCCAGGGTCCCCCCTCTGTGTCTCAGCCCCGGATGTCGCTCGTCCCTCCTAATTAGCAGCCATCGGGGACTTTCCAGGCTCTCATTAGCGCCCGTATTAACGAGGCGATTAACATCTTTAATTAAAAGCAGGCGGGCGCTGGGAAGTGACCTGGGTTGGTAATCAGAAGCTGGCGCTCCCAGGGGGCCGGGGAGACGGGATGGTGCAGCTGCACATGGGGACCGCATGCATGTGCATTGCGTGTGTCCTCTGGTGCACAGAACCACGAGGCAAGGGGGGGGTTGTGGTGCTTGCATAGGTGTGCAGTGCACGTAAAAAGCGTGTCTGTTTGCACATCAGCCCATGCCTGTGTGCCCCGTCCTCCTGACCCTAGCGGGACAGACAGGAACCACATGCATGTGCCTGGCATGTCACTCCACCTGTGCATCACGGGGTGTAATTGTGCGAGTGTTGGCCTGCAGACGAACTACACGTGTGCTTCCTGTGTCAGTCTGCACGCTCCTTGGGGCCTGCACAATCCTGCCACGTGTGCCTGTCCTGCCTCCCCCATCCCCACAGCCACCCCTCACCTAAATATGATGTGCACGGGGGATACTGGAGTGTCCAAGAGTGTGCATGAGGACCCACGTGCACAAGCATATGCATGGGGCTTGTGTGTGCAAGTGTGTGCATGTAAGCATGCATGGGGCCTGCGTGTGCTCCCAGCCTGCTCTGTGGGGAGGGGCTGGCTGAGCCCATCTCCTGGGGGCAGCATGTCTGGGCAGGTGCTAGTACAACGTGATGCCTGTCCCTCACGATTACCCACAATGCTGTGTGCTGGATGCTGAGCAACTGCTAATGCGGCCTGGCAGCCCCGCTCCACCGGGCGGAAGCACACGGCCAAGGGTGGGGGAGCAGGGGGGGTGGAGAGCACGCGTATCAGTGCACATGTGTGTGCGCGCACGAGTGTCTCTCCCATCTACCTCCAGAGCAGCTCAGCTTGCAGGGTGCTGGCTTGCGGAGAAGTGTGTGCGTGCGTGCTTGTGCAAGGGACCCCCTCCGGCATGTGCGTGTCCCAGGTGTGCCTGTGAGCGTGCACAGGGTCTGGGAGGAAGCGTGCAAGCACGTGTGTGCATGCTGCACTGGGAGGCGGGGGTGTTACACACTCACATGTGTCGGGATCCCTGCACGTCCTCTGGTCTGGCCTGGTGGGGCTGGAGGGGGGTGTTTTGTGCGTGACACAGCACTGGGAGGGGCAGTGCGGGGGTGAGACAGCCAGCGAGGTGCAGAACCGGGGGGGGCGGGTGTTTCCAAATACAAATGCGGCATCTTCCCCCCCGTTGCCCCCTGACCCCAGGGGCAGTGGGATGCAGCAGAGGCCGGAACTGCCCCGGACCCTGCCTGGGGGGCACCCATGGCAATGTGGGGGCAGGGCAGAGCCGTGGCTCCCGGGAGCCGTATGGGGGTGTTTCACTTCCCCCTGCTAAAATCCACCCAGGGGCAGCTGAGATACCCCGCCCAGCCCGCTGGGAACTGCCCCACTAGACCTCAGCTACCCCTGGGCCATCTGCCCCCCCACACTGTGCAGGCAGGTCCTGCCCCGGCCTCCTTCCAGCCCTGCGGGGAGGGCAGCTTTATGCAGAATCCTCTGCCCAGGGGAGAGTGGCATTCTTACCCAGCATGCTTTGCACAGGGCAGGCCGACGGCTTTACCCAGAATCCTTTGCACTGGGTCTGACACTAACAGGGCAAGGCTGGCTCCTGACCATACCCACAATCCTTTGCACTGGAACTGGTGCTAACAGGGTGGGCTGGCTCCTGACCATACCCACAATCCTTTGCACTGGGACTGGTGCTAACAGGGTGGGCTGGCTCCTGACCATACCCACAATCCTTTGCACTGGGACTGATGCTAACAGGGTGGGCTGGCTCCTGATCATACCCACAATCCTTTGCACTAGAACTGATGCTAACAGGGCAGGATTGGCTCCCAACTGTACCCAGAATCCTCTGCACTGGGGCGGACACTAACAGGGCGCACTGGCTCCCGGGGCTGGCGGCTGTCCCCAGCCCCCCGGGGCAGGCAGGCGGGGGGGCTCCGGCCCGCACGGGGCGGGGGGTGCCTACCTGCAGGGTAGCGCTCGTTGACGGGCCAGTTGGCCACCTGGAGCGTGGCGTTCCCCCCGCTGCGCGTGAAGCGCA